CCATGGGGGCAGGCCCCAGCGCCCAGGCCCGGGGTGCCAAAATGGCTCAAGCCAGCCCTGACTACAAGGGCATTCTGTTGACTAATAGTTTCTCTCCATTGTAATCCCCAGGTCCTTTTCTGCAGATCTGCTGCTTAGCCAGTTAGTCTCTAGCCTGTAGCAGTGTTTCGGATTCTTCCATCCCAAGTGCAGGACCCTGCATTTGTTGGCAGGCCCCAGCGCCCAGGCCCGGGGTGCCAAAATGGCTCAAGCCAGCCCTGACTACAAGGGCATTCTGTTGACTAATAGTTTCTCTCCATTGTAATCCCCAGGTCCTTTTCTGCAGATCTGCTGCTTAGCCAGTTAGTCTCTAGCCTGTAGCAGTGTTTCGGATTCTTCCATCCCAAGTGCAGGACCCTGCATTTGTTCTCGTTGAACCCCATGAGGTTCTTTTGGCCCAATTCTCCTATTTGTCCGGGTCGTTCTGGATCTAATCCATACTCCAGCATATCTACTTGTCCCCCTCATCTTACTGTCATTTGCAAATTTGCTGAGGGCGCAATCCATCCTCTCATCCAGGTCATTAATAAAGATGTTGAAAATTGGTCCCAGAACCAACCCTTTGGGCATCCAACTTGATACCAACTGCCAACCAGCCATCGAGCAGTTGATCACTATCCATTGAGCCCAACAATCTAGCCAGCTTTCTATCCACCTTACAGTCCATTTATCCAATCCATACTTCTTTAATTTGCTGGCAAGAATATTGTGGGAGACTGTATCAAAAGCTTTGCTAAAAATCGGGTGCATCATGTCCACTCCCTATCCACAAAGCCAATTACGTCATAATAGAAAGCAATCAGGTTAGTCATGCATGACTTGCCCTTCGTGAATCCATGCTGACTATTGCTGATCACTTTCCTCTCTTGCAAGTGCTTCAAAATGGATTTTCCATGATATTATTCCCCCCCCCCTTTTTTTTAAACACCATTAGGTGAAAGGAGGGAGCAGGCAGGCGTGGTGTGGTGGCTCCCCCAGGTAGCTCAGAGGTGCTTTGGCAGCCACTGTAAGTACAGTCACTAGGGAGGGTGGGGGAGTCTCCATGGGGGCAAGTCTCTGTGGAGGCAGATGGACTCTGGGAGGTCGTGCACTGTGCTCCAGCTTCCCAAGAGCCTAGTGGCAGGGGATCCCCCAAGAGCCCACTGCCGGCATATAAGCCTGGCTGGGAGCCCTGCTCCTAGCACCTGCTCCCAGGCTGCTGTCTCAAGCACCATACCCTCTCCCTGCCCCTGGGCTTTCATGGATGCAACGTGGGGTCTGCCAGCTACAGTGCTATGTTTCTTGGTGTTGAAGTCACAGTGGGTTAGGGTTGGAGGAAGGGGACTAGGAGCTTGGTTTAAAATAGCAATCCCAAGTAGTGAGGAAAAGCAGCGAAGTCGGACTTGAGTTGAGAGGGGGAGAGGAGGAGAAGGCAGGCGGGATGCAGAATGACGTGATGACATCCCACAGGAAAAACTTTTAATATAGAGAGAGATTATAGTTTTGGCTTTCACTACAGCTATTAGCAAAGAATTCCACAGATTGACTATGTGCTATGTGAAGAACTTCCTTTTGTTTGTGTTAACTGGGATATTTATTAATTTTATTGGGAGATGGCCTGGTTCTTGTGTTATGTGAAGGAATAAATAACTCTCCTTTATTCACTTCCTCCATACTACTCACGATTTTATAGACCTATGATATCCCTTTTTACACATCTCTTTCCCAAACTGAAAAAGAATCTTTTTAATCTCTCTTTGTACAAAAGCTTTTCCATACCCTTATTTTTTATTTTTCCCCCTTCTCTGTACACTTTCCAATTTTAATACATCTTTCTTGAAATGGAGCAACCAGAACGGCATGCAGTATTTAAGATGTGGCCATACCATAGATGTTTATAATGGCATAATGATATTTTCTGTCCCTCCCCTAATGGTTCCTAACATTGTTAGCTATTTTGACTTCTACTATGTGATGGACAGAGGTTTTCAGAGATCTGTTCACGATGACTCCAAGAACTCTTTATTGAGTGGTAACAGATAATTTAAATCCCATCATTTATGTACATGTGATAGGGATTATTTTCCAATGTGCATTAATTTGCATTTACCATCAACACAAGATTTCATCTGCCATTTCGTTGCCAGTCCACCCATTTTTGTGAGATCCCCTGGTAACTTCACAGTCTGCTTTGGACTTAACTATCATAAGTAATTTTGAAAATTTTGTCAGGCCAGTTTAAATAGTTTTCCAGATCATTTATGAATGCTAGGAGGCTGTACCTCCTGCTCACTATGCTCGCCGACCCCCGTCTCATGGGGGTAGGCAACTACCAGCTCTCTCCCTGGACACGGGGGAGGCCCGGGCTGCAGCTGCACCAGCCTGGGCCCCTTTTCCTCTCCCTCCCCAGGCTGTGCCAGCCCGGATTCTTTCTCTGCCCCCAAACCTCCCCGACCTAATCCTAACCCCCAACCTCTCCTGGCCAAGGCCACACCAGCCCTGGCTTTGTTCCCAGTGTCTGGCGAAGGCCTGGGCTGGCCCCGGTGCACCAGGCCCAGCTCTGCTCCTGGTGTCTGGGGAAGGCTGGGCTACGGCACCCCTGTCCCGATTCTGCTCCCAGTAGCTGGGGAAGGCTGGACCTTGGCACACCAGGGCCCAGCTCTCCACGTGGCTGCTGGAGAGGGCCAGGCTGGCAATGGGTGGGGCTTCGCTCTAGGGACAGGGTCTGGGGCAGAAGAGGAGGCCTTTACCCGTCTATGCCTAGCACCCAGCCCATGGACACTGTGATGTGATGATGTCACTATGTCATCCAACAATAATTTTTTTATATAAAGAGAGAGATGTTCACCAGCATTTCATTTCAGTACAGACCCAGGGGGGCACCATTATTTACCTCTCTCCATTCTGAAAACTAACTGTGGTGGGGAGTTGAAGCAGACTGCTCCACCATGCCGTGCTGCCCTCCTAGCCCACTGCACCTTGCTTTTGCACGGTGGTGGGAAGCAGAGCATTCTAGGACTAAGGAGCATCTGTTATTTTCCTGCCACCAGTAACTAGGTTAGATGCAGTATTTTACTTCAGTATTATTTCAACAATATACTCAGAAATGTTCTCTTTATATGCCACAAAACACTTACGTATTCTTCTTCAGTTTCCTGTACAAAGAAAGCTTCTCCATTGTCACCCAGCTTCATATGAAGATCAACTGCCTCTCCATTAATTTCTATATCAATCTGTGGGAGAAAAGACAATTTAATATAGAACATCTTCCATACAGCAAAATGCAAGTATTTAGCCTAAGTCTGATTCCACTCTGATTACTTTTTATATTAATGCACCATTCCACTTTATAACCACCACTCCGGCTCCAGGCTTCTTCCAAGTCTGTCCTTCCTTCCTCTTTGTGCTCTCCTACTCCATGAAAGGAATCGGTGCTTTTTAAAGAAGCAGACTAAGATTTCTGAGACTAGACAGACACGTGCTTTTCTCAACAAGTAAAGTTTTAAGAGAAAATGACTCAGCATTTTAAGACTATTTTCCCATGTTGAAATTCTGAGCAGCAAATTCCAGTCAACCATTCAGATAGAATAGGAAACTTCAACATTTACATCAAGACCATCATAGAATCAGAGACTTCTAGGGCTGGAAGAGACCTACGGAGGTCATCAAGTCCAGATTTCTGCCCAAAACAAGACCAACCCCAACTAAATCAATCCATTTTGTGTACATGAATCCACCTTTTTGTGGCAACTGGATATTCATTTACAGGCAGTCCCCGAGTTACGCGGATCCGACTTATGTCGGATCCGCACTTACGAACGGGGCTCTCTCGCCCAGGACCTCGCAGGCAGCGGGACCGCCCAGATCACAGCGGTCCCGCCACCTCGACCTCCGGGGTGAGAAAAGCTGCTCCCGGTGCCTCTGGTCTGCTGGGGACCGTCTCCAGCAGACCAGGGACACCTGGAGCAAAGCCGGGGAGGCGGACGGGTTCAGACTTATGTCGGATCCGCACTTACGAACGGGGCTCTCTCGCCCAGGACCTCGCAGGCAGCGGGACCGCCCAGATCACAGCGGTCCCGCCACCTCGACCTCCGGGGTGAGAAAAGCTGCTCCCGGTGCCTCTGGTCTGCTGGGGACCGTCTCCAGCAGACCAGGGACACCTGGAGCAAAGCCGGGGAGGCGGACGGGTTCAGCACCTCTGAGGCTTTGTTGTGGCAA